TAATTATAATAGCTGTGCCAGCTTTAGAACTATTGGTGCATGACCAATAGTATATAAAATATTTAGATTTTTAAATTTTGGTAATAGGATTGGTATCAGTTATTTTAGTTTCTGTAATACTAATAATATTAAGGTTATTGGTAAGACAAAAATTCTCCCTAATTTGTTATTTAAGGTTAGTATTATATCTTCTAATATTGTGAGTACAGATATTTAGATTAAGTAGTTGATATATTGATTAAGAGTGAGAGGTTGATGGAAGGATAGAAGTATTTGATTGTGATTTTAAAAAAATATCAATAGAGTTATAGATTGATAGAGTGTAGTGATTTGGTAGTATATCGAGTTCGTATAATAGATACATATGTGTCTCAGTTTTGTTACTATTCACAGTAATAAAACTAAAGTTAGCTAGGTAGTTAGCATTGTTATATCATAGATGTTGATGAAAAAACTTGATAGTTTGTGGTTTATTTAGTAGAAGAAGATGGTAATAAGTAAGGAACTTGTTATAGTATTTTTCCAAATCATAGGAGTTTGAAGATATTGATAATGATTTGGATAAAGATACTTCTGCAAAGCCGTTCACTATTTTAAGCTCCATAATCTGCTCTGTACATTGGGTCTGACTGTCAAATAAACAGACCTTTATATATTTTTAGTTAAAATTATAAATTTTATTTACTTTTTATTTTTATAGAATATTTTATAGAATTCAAACTCTTTCTGATGATTACTTAAACCAAAACCGCACCAAAACAGTTTGAAGATTCAAGGCTCTAAAAAGTTCAAAGATATCTGAGGTTTTTTATTGGTACTGTTGTTGACAAAGACTTATATATGAAACACTGAAGAGCGGGCATATATAGTTGGTTTGTACTCTGGGTCAAGCTTTTTTTCTTGGTAGACTCTCTCACACATTTGGCATTCAAGCCAAAGGAGTTATTTTGGTAATAGTAGTGGTGAAAAACTCTTGACTTAAGTGTCTAAAGCTTTTTAGTTCTACAAAGAATAACTAGAAACACTTTTATTGTCTTAAGCTCTTGCAAATACAGTATTTGGATCTTCTTTAGTATAGGTGGACATATATAAATTATTACAAGATTATAATATATAAAGTCTAACTAATTTGAGTTAATTTAAATTACAACCTTAACCCTAATCCTAATAATTTATAAAATTACTTAAATTAGTTCAAAAAAGTTAATTTATATATGTTATAATTGTATAATAATTATATATGCCCATCTATACTAAAGATCAACCTTGTTTGTTTTTTTTTTAATCCACTGATGCTGAATGTGAAAATGTATTTTTTTGTGACAACAAATCATAATTACAAACTTGAACGATTATTGTATTCATCTTTCACATTTCATTTTATTTCTTATATAAATTTCTTCCACCTATATTGATTAGACCAAATTGTGTAAAACATAATTTTTTTTTAACTAATTAAACGTGCTTATCATTAAAATAAATAAGGTACGGGCATCTAGATCATTAAATCAAAGAAAAAAATTCAAATAGTAAACAAATGGTTAGTAAGTTTAATCTTTAGGTTAACAAACTTTTCCCTAAACTATTTGTTTATCAAAGTTACGTCGATTACTTTTGAACGATTTCGATCACTAGAAATTCACATTTATGTGATTTCATTTGATTAGTCCATAAGCATAATATAACAATCATATATCAATTAAGTATTTAGGGCTATTCATCATGTCTGCTTCTTATTGTCAATTTAGTTTGTGACTACTGTGATCATTATCATCAAAAAATCTTTTTAACTATGCTTATTTAATGCAGTTCTGGATGTTATTGATTGGTCAAGCTTCTATAAACGATTGTGATTGTACCGAGGGTATTCTTGAACCTCTTGCAAGAGCGAAGAAATGTTTCCCAAAAGCAAAAAAATACAATCAACCCAATACGTAATAGGTTGTTTGAAGAAACTTTCGCAAGCCTCACTTAAAGACCTGGTATTATGAAATGTAATGAAGGTAATGATTGGGTATAATCAATTGTGTAGATTAATAAATAATTAATACGTAACGATAGATACAATATGTCCTTAAAGGAAATGTTAAACGGTGCGCCGGTGCATTTGGTGCACCCCTTTTATAAATCTAATAGTGCAATATTAGTATTAATATAAGAATTAAGGTTAAAAGGTTGTCTTATTAGTCCTTGTATAAGGAATATTTTTTATTAGTTACACAACAGGGTTACCCTAGTAAAATTTTGCGGTATGAGCAAATAATTTAAATATGCTATTATTTACGTTTAGATTAGGCTTAAAATCGTGTAACAAATATTTTTATTAGTTACACAACAGGGGTTATCTTAATAAAATTTTGAGATACGGGGGTGCTCCATATAACAATATTCTTTATAAATTTAAATTTTATATATTTACTTTAATAAATAGTAATAGCGTTACCAGGTTTTATTGGATTGCTTATGCAGGCACAGTTATTAATACATATGCATAAACTGAGTTCGAGAACTGTTATTAGATACTTCGAAAACAATGTTCCAACGGGTTTTTAAGCACAAACTAACCGGTTGGCGCAGAACATCCCTATTATATATAATTCGCTCAATTGATTTTAACCTAGTCTTATCTATCGCTACAAATATAATAGCATAAAGAAATTACACTAATTTTATTATACATCAAATCATATTCCAAATTTTGATGCCAAAATTATATTTTGCATAGTTTACTGCATTTATACACGGCAGTGTATATGTATCTTGTTATTAATGATCATCAATTCTTATATAGTTTATTGTATAATTACCAAAATTATTAATGATCATCAATTCTTATGTATATAGTTTGTCGGGGATTATTCTGAAACAAGATGATGCTGAAACATTGACTTATTTTAATATGAATTTTAAAATTTTTGGGGATGTTTTTTTAGCTTTTTTTTTTGTAGTTAAGTTAGGGTTTAGGGCTAGTGTTTATGATAAAAAAAGTATAGGTGGATTTCAGTAGGGTTTATATTTCTAAATTGAGACCCCACGTTTCAGCATCATCTTGTTTCAGCATCATCCCCGACATATAGTATAAATACAAACCTGTGACTGGTGTTTTGACCTGGGAGAGACTTTATGACTCGACACCAATTTAGCGCAAGGCCACAGACATAAACTTAGAGATGATGGTGCAGTTATTGTATCTCTCTTCGTCGTACTCGTTGTGGGTTTTATATCGTTGTCACCGAACAATAGTGCCGCGCGGTTCTCGAATAAGGTTGTTAATTTATCCGTATTGGGATATGCGGTCGATTTGGAATACGAAAGTTTTCTAACCCATGCGTGCAATTCAACTTTTACTAGCGTTTTATTAACTTGGCTATTATCCTCCTTGACTAGAGTATCGTTTAGATACTTCCACCTAATTAGCACCACAAGGAAACGTACACAATGTTACAAGCACTCAGTGTATTATTAAGATAGTATTTTCCTAACGCTAAAGCCAGGTCGATGCACTTATATACTAAATTATTGTCTAATTATTCGGTTACACCCATTATACTACATACCATATAGCGCTGCATATTTTACCCGGCGTGACACGATTTTTTTAAAGTAAAAATTAAAAATCACGTATTTTATAACATTTTAAAGAAATTTATTAGTTTACACGTAGTGTTTATACACGGGTATAATTTAGTGTTGTAAGCCGAATGGTTTTAATCGGCTGGCTAACGGCTTACCTTACAGAATATTTCGGAACTTTCACAAAGGCTTTAACTTGTTCATCCCATTTTCTATTTTGGATTTATCGGGATTTTGACTACGTGTTCTTCAGCTGCATTAGCCAGCCGACCCTTTTATATCGGCTAGCACAGCTGGCTAAGCCAGCTTAGCCGCGGCTGCCTTAGCCGGCTTACAACACTAATCAAAACAATTTTTACAACCGAAAAATTAAGGGTGGATTTGGGATTGGGCGAGGTATAGCCTATACCAAAAATTCACAAGGAATTTTTTTTGTTAGAAGACAAAAAGTGGTTTTATAATCAATATTTTGAGATATCTATATTACCCGTGTACAAATAGAAATTATCTATTTTAAAAAAATTGATCTAAATAATTTGTCACGCATGGTCTATGTGCAGCGCTATATTTTACGTATAGTACCCTAGCCATGGCAAAAAAAAAGCATCGTCACGTGACTCTGCCCAGTCAGCGAAAATCAAAATATTAAAGGACTGGGTGAAACCCACGTTGTAAATTAGTAAAATCCGCTACGTAGATCACGTTAGGGTGAAATCCGTGCTTAGTTATGTTTTTTATTATGCAAAAGCGAATTTCACCCTCGTGTAATCTACGTAGCAGATTTTACTAATTCACAGCGCGGGTTTCGCCCTGTCGTAATATTATCGTTAGAATTAGGATTAGGTTGAGAATATAGCAGATTATATACCAAGAAATTTTTCAATTTTTACGTTACACCTGATCTTGTTATCTGATTGGCTAGATTCCGATCTATCAAGTGACAGTGCCTTTTCTATGATACGTACGTACGTACGTACGTACATTTTAGACTTTTAATTAATATTATGCATCACCCTCTATCGACATTCATGCAAAGCAATAACGTTACATGAATCGAACCCAGCGCTACGAATTCTCGGGGTACTATCGAACGTGTCGAACGTACATTACATGTTAGCCAACAAAAAAATAACATTTTACAAAGAAAATTTGACAAATTTTCGTAATAGTCCGTATGGTAGCCTCCAAAGGTTTGTAATTTTTTTTTTTTAAATCCAGATTAGCGAGATTGAACATTTAGATAAAATTAGTAAGAAAAAAAGGTTTATTCACAATACAATAATAATTTGTTAAATTTTATGTTTTCTGTGTAATATTAACAGGTTACATATTTAACCGTTTTGACCCGAGTTGTAAATTTTTGACCCGGTTGAACCGTTTTGACACGGGTGAACCGGTTTACTATAACCCGGTTCTAAATTCTGACTCTATCCAACGTCGCCAATTTTTTTTACGTTGAGCAATATCGTCCTTTAATTTTGACGTTGGTACCGCAGAATTCAATCTTCTAAAACTATCTTCAGTATTGTTAACGAAGAAAACGTGATACGAATTAATACAAATTTTGATTTCCAAACCATTTCGAGTCAAAACATTAGACATTATTTGTTCTGAAACATCAACAGATGGTAAATTTCTAATTATTAATTAACTATATGTTAGTGCTTTATCCACAGTGAATTTTCAGTTTCGCTCAACTCGAAGATTACGCCACTCGAGAATTAATTTCTTATGAAAATAAATTACCTTTTAAGGAAAGGTCGTTCGGTCTTCGCTGACACGCCTTCGGTAGGGTTCAACGACATGTAACTATACATATAATACGCCCATTTTCCCTCGGATGAAACTGCGTTGCCCAGTGTATAATCACGCCCCGACAATAATATTGTCATAGCTCGCTCATCTTTATCCTAAACAAAATTTTATAATTCTATTACTGAAAGCAGAACACTAAATGGGTTCTTGCTAGGAAAACCACGCTTTGAAACTATATAGATTTGCAAGATTTGCTGGCTATCTAGTAATCCAATTTGAATAAACTTTTTTTTTTTTTTTAGAAATTACTAAGCTCTATATACATTTACTCAATTGGATTACTAAGTGGCTGAGAAAATTAAATTTTGGTTTTCCTAACAAAACCCTCGAATATTTACAAACATTTACAAACATTGAATACACACATAATCCATTCGATATGTTGGTTCATCATATCCAATAGTACTATTAGCGTGTAATTGATACATTATATGTGATCGCACGCTTGATTGGTCGTGTCGTTTTTTATTATTCTCAAATAGGTTGATCAATGTATTTGACTTTGCATCTGACACCAATAATTGCATCTTAAAAAATAAATTTTGTTAGAATAATAATAAATGAAGGATGACAATAAATATTAAACAATTAAGTCTGAACGTTAAGTCTGAACATTTACTTGTTTAGTCATATTTTGGACCAGTTTATCCACAGTAAACATTATGTATGCTTTTGTGCCATATATATATCGAAGGCATTCCTCAAAAACTGGTAATTCCATATCTCCATCGAATTGTTTTTCAATTAATTCTAGCATAACTGCATATGGGTCACCTTTGGTAAAATCCACGTCAACATCCGCTAACAATATGAAAAAAGTAGAATGCAAAAAACTGATAAATAATCGAGATTATTGAAATTATAATATGTAATGTTTATGAACTAATAAAATATGATTAAGGACTTACGATCAATGCGATCGGGCAGGAGACCTAATTCAGTAGCTACAGAACTTGGCCCCCTAACTTGAGACGTCGATGATGATATCTCTTGTGCGCTTTCCTTCATCGTTTCGAGGCGGCTAAATAACATCTAATAAAATAATTATTAACAACAAATTTGCTATTATTATTATTATTATATAAAATCTATATCTTACTTGCAAAAATCGGAAAAAACAGTAAAAGGAATTATTTCCAAAGAAATAACACGTAGACTTTTTTTTTTGTTTCGCATTGCCGGCATTAGCGACAACGGCTCGAATATTCTCACGAGATTCTTTTGAAACCTGAATCCACATTCCACTTATTGGTTCCGCATTTAAAGGCTCTCCATCAATATTGTCAGTCGATATGTTGGTCGAAGTTTCCTCATTATCAACTAACATAGCAGAATCTTCGTGATTTAAGCCATCGAACATGTTTGGTGGAAGTTCAAAAAAGCTTGGTACAAATGTCTTAAAAAAACGTTCAATCTTTTCACGGTCGCTTGGTGCAACCGTTAATGATCGATCCATATAACCAAAAAGAATACGAGCCACATCCTTGAAGACTTCTAAATCCTTAAAAATGAATTTGAATTGATATTCAGCAGGCTCACCTTCGTCAGAAGGCTCACGGCGAAGATTTTCAATTTCAGCAACTAAATATTTAGGTGTTAAGGCTTTTTTATCATCATTCTTGAATGTTATTCCTTGATGATCCAGGGACTTGTAATAATTCTTGGCATCAATCTCTCTCCATATTTTATTCCACTCTCTCTATGATAATAAACATCATTATTTACAGGAAATAAATTTAAAATCAATTGAAGTGAAAAAAACAAACCCTTGCTCGTTTCCATTCTTCATCTTTTTGTCGAAGTCTTTTGAGTACTACCGGAACGGCAGTGCATGGATTATTATGTAAAGCGTCAATGACTTCAAGTCCTTTTTCAACGTCATATACCTTCTTTATAATACGTTGATATATCATTGATTGTCCTCCTAGACCAGGTTCAAGTTTAAATTTAGCCTTTTCTTCAGGTGTCAATTTGGTATTAATCTTCTTTTCGATTGGTTCCAACAGATGAATTGTATGAAGATTGGCTTCAATAAACATATCGTACTCATATCTAAACAAGATAAATGGATAAACATAAAGTGTAATATTAAGAAATGCTAATAGAAGGAAATAAGAACCAGATTACAAAATAATATACTAAATATATAGACCTTTCCTCTTCACATTTATGCAAAGCTTCTTCGAATTGATTCTTCTTATGTGATACGAATCCGGCCTCTTCGCTGGCCCACGTGGGATGCGATACCCATTTGTCATTTAGTACTTCATAACACAATTCATCTCTACCAGAACAAGGCATGTTGGCCTCCTTTAAACATATGTATAATAATTATATTTAGATATTATTTATAAAGTCAAAATCCATTACTATATTAACAATTGGAAACGTACTGATTCAGGTAACTGCCGGTAACTTGGTCCGTATGAAATACATCCTTCCAAATCAACACGCGGCCTAGAGTTAGCGGTATTTTGAACAATCTCGTCTCTTTCGTTTAACTTAAGGAACTGTTTTAACCAAGCATATAATTCGGAATTCGTCCCCCCCAAAAAAGGTGCCATATACTTGAGCAAAGATTGGCCATCCAAAATTTCTTGACTATACAAGTTTAGGAGCTTAAGGAATTCGTTATAGCTATGCTTATTTGAAATGTACCTCTTGGCTTTTTCAAAGAATTCTAATTCTTCTGTGGATGCTAGAGGTTGTGGCTCCATTGCTTTCTGTGACTCAAGTTTAACTGGTATTGATGATGATGAGCTTGCATGAACCTGATCACCTGAAGGCTTGTGTGATAACTTTGATTTCTTTGGCTATGAATCAATTATTTCAGTCCAAACTAGCAAGTAATACATATTCAAATTATCAATAATGTCATACCTTGCTGGATATTAAACTAGGACTTCGATCCGAGTTAGGAAGTCCAGACCTTTTTTTCTTGTTTACGCTTGAGGAACCAGTAGAATTTGGACCAACCACAGACCCCAAACCATTGTTCGTCGATCCGATGCCCGAACCCTTCTTGAATGTATCGTTCACTGATAAATTAACAGATGATTGTGACGAAAAATTACCGACAGATGGCAATCTAGTGGCTCCATGACCTGCAATTTGTGATTGGAAGATACAATATTTAACAATATTAACAAATCGTGTGAATATAACGTGAAATCAAATAATCACACAACTAACCGGAGCCACTATTAGCAATCGCTGAAATGGCAGGTAATAAATGTGACTGTTTTGGCGTACCATGGTTTTGAGGAATGGGTCCAAATAAACCACCTGACGCTACATTGCCGGATGTATCAGGTAGAAACTGTTTGAATTCGTCCAGGAGATCTGGCGCATTTTTAAAAAGTATTTGTACTTGGGAATAAACCTTTAGTGAATAGAAATTAAATTACCAATGTTAAAACTTAGCATATAAGGTATTAACATTTACCGAACAAAAACTACTACCTCCTGGATTGGCTTTTGTTCCTTTTGGTACGTTTGTAAGATTTCTAGGAACTGTTTATAAGTGTCTGGCTCTGTCGAAAAACGATTCTTAAACGTAAAAAAATTTTCATCATCGGTCTCATATGAATTAATTGCGATACGATAAATTACGATATTGAATTTCTCACTATCAATCAACTAATTAGCAAAAATTGCAGTGCTTACTTTAATCTTATTCACATAGTTGATAGCATGATTGAATTCGACAGGTGCCTTTTTACCTTGCTGCTGAGGAGAAGTATTTTCAGCAACACCAAGTCCCACAGACTGCACTGCCTGTGCAATAGTTTGTTGAGCCACCGATTGTCCTACAGATTGCTGAGGAGAACCAATACGATACGAAACTGTTTGTGTTGGCATAGAAGAACCCGGAGGATGTGGTTGCAACGTTGGCATTAAAGAATGAGGTGGAGGGTGTGGGTAACTAGCATTTGAATAATATCCTGAACTCGTAATGTTGGATACAGTAGAAAGTGTCGGTCCGTGGTGTGGATCCATAGGACCAATTGAGGTTGTTGTAGTCCCGCTAGGTGTCGTAACACGGATGGAATCAGGATCGTGAGGATTGGTTGAGCACTCAATATGATACCCGGGAGGTAAAAATGTATTGAATCCTTGTATCAAAGCAGGATGCCCTTTGAAAAGAGATGATACTCGCTCAATGACGCCGGGCGTGTCTATAGCCTGACTTTTAAAGTCTTTCATTATATCAAGGAACCTATTGTACACATCCGGCTGCTCTGAGAATTGCACCTTCACCTGATCGAGATATGACAAAGCATCTTTAACGTTAAGAGCCTGCTTATTATTATTTTGGGACATGGTAGGCAACCTTACTATCTAACTTTGTTTTCGTACTTATAGAAACAATGAATCATGATTACAAGTGGATGAATGAAATATTATTTATAAAATTTTGTTTATCACGTGCCTTACAAAGCACGATAGTGATAGCACGATGCATAACCAATTGAAATGATAATTTGATAATCTGATAATCTTAATTACAACACCCTCTCGTTTTAGTAATTTATCAATCAATACGTACAATGAAGATTAGTTAATATTAAAATTCAAAGATTAGTCTATTTAAATTTTTTCGATATAGTTTACAAAACTTTCAATGAGTTATTAGAGATGGGTACGACTTGAATCAACTCAGGCTCTGAATGAACTGAATCGAGAGAATTCCTATGACTTAGTAAAATCAAGCCTTGAGTCGATTCGACTCAAAAGTGTGGCAATGACTTGTCGAGTTGTGAGCCAAGTCAATGACTTGTCGAGCCATGATCATATTATCGTTATGTACTGTACAGAACACAAAAATGCCGGAGATTTTCGTTTACGTAAGACTCGACTTTTCATCAGTCGGAAATTCTATATTACTTAGACAAATTTTATTGGTTATTATGTCTGAACCTCCGATTAAAAAAGACATTGCCGGCAAAAAAGCAGGTTACATCACCCGGAAATTTTGTGCATTGGTACTGTATACATATTGGGTTTGTTTGATTGTTATCTTAATATGACTGGAAGATAGTGTGTTATTCAAAAAAAGTATAACCGATTTACATAGTTAAACATTTATCTACGTATACGTACTGAATTAGCTGTTATCAAAAAAGGTTATTGATTGCATTATTAAGATTGTTATACAAAATAAATTACCGTATTAAATATTTTTGAAGTTTTTATTTATTAGTTACAGAACATGTTCTTATACATGGGTTTTTATTGCTGTTATTTATAAATCAAACAAGTTAATGCCCTAAATTTTATATATACTATAGTACAAAAAAATTCATTCATCGCATCTCTACTCCTGATCGACCAATCAAGATGCAGGATTGAATGTAACGTAAACTTAAAATTTTGTTTATAACTCTTTTTTTTTATTTTAAAAAAATTTTCTTGTGAAATTTTAGATTAGAGATGGTTTTTTTAGTTATAATTCTGGCCAAACTAATCTAACCTTAACTAGTTGCTATTTATTTTTTTTGATTAATATAAAATCAAAACAAATTAAATAATTAGTTAAGTAGAAATAATAATATATTGTACTAATAATAAATAATAATTGTTTTAAAATATATTGTTATATAACAAGTTAGACCTTTGGTTAACAAGTTACCTTACTTAAGAAATGTGTTTATATAATTTATAGAAGAAAACATTTTATAGATAAGATAAATATTGTTGACTTATTGCTATGGTGATACTCATAAAGAAAAGGTTATAATCAATAAAATTTATAGGCAAAAGATAGATTTATTAACTCAGATAATACTCAAAAGAATAACACAGATAAAACAAATATATTACTTAAGAAAAATACAATAGTTTTCAGAAAAATATCACAGAAAAGGAATTTATTCCCAACAAAGATTATATAAAAATACCAAAAATAAGACTTATTCCTAATATAAAATTATAACAAAAATAAAAATGGAACCTATTTTCAAGATCAAAGTGTATAATAACAAGATTATAGTAATCAAAATATAGGAACCAACTGTCCTCTTGCCTTGGAAAAAGAGGCAAAGTTTATATATTTTTTTCTGATATATTAATTTATTATAAAACATAGTAATTAATTAAAGAAGAATACCTTTTATTAATGAAATAGCACTTTCTACTATAGAATAGGCATCTTTAGATAGTGGATGGGTACTTCCAGATAATGGATGAGCACCTTAGAATAATTAAAATTATAGATTAGACATCTTTTACTATGGCAAGAGTACTTTTTCTTATAGGATGAGCACCTTTTAATATAGAATAAACACCTTTTAATATAGTGTTATATTAGTAGATTTTATTAGCATATTTTAGAAGATTTTATTAGTGTATTTTATTAGTATAATTTATATTTATTATATAGAGGTGCCAGTAGAAACCAAGCAATTTGTTTCTAAGTAAATTTGTTTTCAACTTTGAACTAAAATATTTCAACAATTATTAAACCAAACTTGATAAAAATTTTTTTAATTTAATTTTATATAGTTATAGAATTAAAATAAAAAAAATTTATCAAGTTTGGTTTAATAGTTGTTGAGATATTTTAATTTAAATTTAAAAAAAAACACACTAAAAACAAATTGCTTGGTTTCTACTGACACCACCCATATATTTATTTTTAGCTTTAGTTTAATAATAAAATTTTTGACAAATAGTATTAATTTTAGTATAATATTAGGTACATTAATTGATACATTAACTGGTATATTAACAGATACATTAACTAGTATGTTAACTAGGTTGTTAAATGGGTTGTTAACTGAGTTGTTAAAAGGGTTGTTAAAAGGGTCATTAACTAGGTTGTTAACTAGATCATTAACTAGGTTGTTAACTAATAGTCTAAAAGATATAAAAACTCTGCTTTTTTCCTCAAAACAGAGTAGACTGTCTCCTTCCTACTTTTAATTTCTTATTAATTACAACTTATTTTCTTGAAAGTGTAGCCATCACCTACCTTCTTTTTATTGTGTTTAATAAAGTTTTTATTATGTTTTTATTGTATATTTAAAATTGAGCCATCATCTCTTCTTTCTTCTTTGAGTATTTATTTTTGGTATATTTAGTTGAGCTATCGCCTCTTCTCCTTTTTCTTGAGTATTTTATTGTGTTTTAGGATTAGAGCCATCACCTCTTTTTTTATTTTTAGTTTATTGTTTTACTTTAAAGTCTCTTTTAGTTTTTTTTCTTATTTTATTCTTTTCTTATTTGCAAACACATTTCTTAACCCTCTTACATATTAAGTCAAATAGTATAGCTTTACTAAGACTCTGTATTGTTATATTACAATAGGATAAGTATCTTTTGATATAGCAAGGACACTTTTGCTATTTTGGGTTTGTTTGGCTTTGTTTATCCTTAATGTTGTTGTTACATCATTCTGGACTATCCTGGAGCACTATTTGTATTTGTGTATCTTAATCTAGGTTTTATTTATGTTAAACGAACTAATAAATTAAATAATTAAATAACTATTGCTTTAAATAGAATTCTGTGAAAACTATTCTAATAAAGTTAATAATAAACTATCATTTAAGCCAGTGTTTATTTTTTATATGCACAAAAGTGTACGCATATATATGGATCTAATCAAATTGCTTTATTTAAAATTTTGATTAGATCTGCATACATATGTATATTTTTGTATATATGAAAAATAAACACTGATTTGAGCAACTAAAATGTTATAAATAGGGTTAGTATGGACCAATTAAAGGTCAAACTTGATCAGACCAATTTAACCAATTGACCGAACTAATCAAAAAGATTTATATTGATCAAATTGGTCAATTAATTTGACCAATCAGATTAAAGAATTAAATTATATAAATTTTTATTAAATAAACCTATTCTCTGATTCTAATTAAAGTTGTAGAGCAGATTGTTATAATTCTAATAGTGATTAAAGCATCAAAATCAGTCTACCAGATTATGGAATATATATAAAAATGTCTTTAAAACATATATAAAATTTTTTATAATGATTTATATATATATTTTAGACCATTTTTATGCATATTTTATGATCTAGCAGACCAACTTTGATGCTTTAACCATTATTAGAATCGTAACAATCTGCTTTACAATTTTAATTAAAACTAAAGAATAGATTTATTTAGTAAAAAAATGACTTTTATTGATTTGACCAATTTGACCAAATTGATCTCTTTAACTATAGTCAAATTGATCAAATTGGTCAAATTGGTTAAATCAATAAAAAGTATTTTTTACTAAATAAATCTATTCTCTAGTTCTAATTAAAATTGTAATGCAAATTATTATGATTTTAATGATAGTTAAAGCATCAAAATCGGTCTGTTAGATTATAAGATATGCATAAAAATATTCTAAAATATATATAAAAATCTTTATAAAAAATTTTTATATACTGTAATATAGCAATACAGGGTCTTAGTAAAGCTATACTACTTGATTTAATATGTAAGAGGGTTAAGAAATGTATTTGCAAATAAGAAAAGAATAAAATAAGAAAGAAAGCTAAAAGAGACTTAAAAGTAAAACAATAAACCAAAAATAAAGAAAAGAGCCGATGGCTCTAATTCTAAAACACAATAGAATATTTAAGAAAAGGGAGAAGAGACAATAGCTCAACTCAATATACCAAAAATAAATACTCAAAGAAGAAAGAAGAGGCGATGACTCAACTTTAAATATACAACAAAAACACAATAAAAGCTTTTATTAAACACAATAAAAAAAAGGTAGATAATGGCTACACTTCCAAGAAAATAAGTTGTAATTAACAAGATATTAAAAGTGAAGAGGAGACAGTCTATTCATTAAAAATAATCTATAAATAATAAGAAACTAAAAGTAGGTAAGGGAAGTATGCTCTGTCTTGGGGAAAAAGGCAGTGTTTTTATATCTTTTAGACTATTAGTAAACGATCTAGTTAATGACCTAATTAACAACCCAGTTAATGACCCAGTTAACGACTCAGTTAACGATCCAGTTAATGACCTAGTTGATGATCCTTTTAACAACCCAGTTAATGACCCTTTTAACAATCCAGTTAACAATCCAGTTAACAACTCAATTAATGACCCTTTTAACAACTCAGTTAATGACCCAATTAACATACCTATTAACATACCAGTTAATATACCTGTTAATGTACCTATTAATATATCAGTTAATATACCAGTTAATATATCTGTTAACGTATCAGTTAATATATCGAATAATATACTAAAATTAATACTATTTGTCAAAAATTTTACTATTAAACTAAAGCTAAAAATAAACATATAATAAATATAAATTATATTAATAAAATATACTAGTAA